CCATACTACTAACAATCCCTTACCCTCAATATACAGACATATATAGTATACACTCAAGGTTTGCCGGAAGAGAACTCTTACAGAGTTAAGCTCGCCTCTTGTACATCTTTATTTTACAAAAATATAACAATGTACATCTTGTGTATAATAAAGTATAAATAAATTAATACATAACATTGACAGCATACATATTTTATTATTATATCTGCCTTTCACTGTCCACTGCTGAACATAAGCCTCCCCTACAAGGGGGTTTTTGCTCGTAGTTGCCATGTTTGACAGACCGGTCGACAACCGCAGTTCAGCTTAGATACTATTTTAAAAAGGACGCTGTTGCTCATCCCATAACCACCAAGTTCCCTTACTCGCCTCTTACAACACCCACGGGAAAAAAAGAGGTGATCCATTCTATGCCGAGACCACATGGCAACACTTACACCTATGTTATTTATACTACAATGATATTCAAGATTTATTGCAAGAAATTACATAATCAGGTAATATCTTTCTGTAATATAATATTTTATATATATAAATAATATTTTATGCCCATAATGATACACTAGATAACCCCTGTCTGGGACAAATGGCTAATGAATATATTTTAGTATACAATACAGGACTATTTACATTGCTTATTCACTTAATACGCAATTAATTAAAAATTAAATGTTTTTGGTAAGAGAAAAGAAAGGAAAGGAAAGAGCGTTGTTATTTTTTTTGTTACTAGGATAGTCTGAGTAAAGTTTTTAGGAAAAGAAAGATAATTTAGCCAAAAATATGTATATGAATTGGACAAAATCGGTTTGATATGAATAACTTTTATATAAAAAATAATTAATTATAATGAGTAAAATTTTAAGTCAGTATTAATTAAGATGCCATTGAAAACTATTGAAAACTTAATTTAAATAACTACAAACGTATTGTAGGTGAATAGTATTGACATAATCCGTGTTGTCCCGGTATAGAATAGGCCACCCTTTCCTTTCTTATGGGCGTCGTAAGAGGCAACTAAGAGAGGGCAGGGGATGGGCAGCAACGTCTTAAAATATCTCTAAAGCCTAACAGCAGTTGCCGATACGCCTGCCAAGTGTGGCAACTACTGGCAAAATCCCCCTAGGGGAAGGCTTATGCTCAGCAGTGGACACTTAAAGGCTGATACGATGATGATAATGAGTACATACATACCTGATATCGACGTGGTGCTGGACGGAAAGGAATTGTTAGTAATGGGATTAAATAGCCCCATTACTGGGGGAAAGGGATTGTTAGTAATGGAGACTGAGAATCCCATTGCTAGCAATATACCCAACTAGGTCGACTTCCTCGCGGTTTCCCCTGGAAACTATCATGGTTAATTCCTGATGAATTCATCATGATGGGCTAACTGGCCTGTTTTCATTCTCATCTATCACCCTCCACTGGTGCTCCGCCAGCGTATCCCGTTAGCGCAGGTGGGGCTACCATACCATTTTCACCCATCAAAAAAAAATAGCCCTACTACTAGCAATATACCCTATCAGGTCGACCTCCACGTGGTTCCCCCTGGAAACCATCGTGGTTAATTCTAGTTGAATTCGTCAGGATGGGCTAACTGACCTGCTTTCATCCTCATCTGTCATTTCTCACTGGTGCCTCGTCAGTGTATACCGATGTCGTAGGCGGGGGTTACCATACCATTATCACCCATTAAAAAAAACGTGATTTGCATCACGTCGAAACATCGGCAATAAAAATTATGTATTATTAGTTATTAGTACTATTTACCTACAATTGTGTCGCGTTAAGTCCCGGTAATGTATTCTAAATATTTATCAACAATGTAAAAGTTTAAAATTACCTATAACTTGTTTGCTTTTCTAATAATGCCCAAGATAATAGTGCACGAACGAACGCCCTTTTGAATGCATACGCTCGACGCGTGATAAGTTGAATGAATGTCTGGAATAGATAGGCATACAGCCAATCGGGACTAGGTAAAAACAATTACATAATAATGGCCAATCGACTTCCTTATTTAACTGTAATAACACATACGTGATATCATATCTAGTGATTGGGGATATGTAACCTTCTCGAATTAAATTGGTAAAAATTGTTTTAACAATTTTAATACAGAAAAGATTACAAATATAGATTAGAAATAATTATATTATAATAATACTTAGCCTAATATAGTGTAATGTTGTAATAATGCTATCTAAAGTATTATTTATTTATTCATTAGTACATATATGTGTACATGGCGGACTTAATGCTAAAAGCATTATCTTTCAGTCGACTTTAGGGAAGTGTCAGAATACTCGAATGCGGTACTAGTAATTATTGATATACATACATACTAAAATTTACAAATAAATATATATAAATAACAAATATACTTACATATATATCAGATATACTATGTTATTCCCTTGTAAACTTAGACTGTATTTGTTGTGATAATAAAACAAAATCATTTAATGATATTTTCTTAAATGGTCCGATTGTTCAGAAACATTTGTGTGTCACACTAATTGCTCTTAAATTAGACAAATATTTTTTTATTTATTTTATTAAAATAATGTTAAGATGCATTAACATAGAACCAGCTCAGTGATCCCAACAAATCACCTTCTGCCGCATTTCTTCTAATCGACAGATTTACTCTTGAATCTAATTTCGATGTAAATCCAATCTATTGCCAATGACAATAATTTACTTTTTGCCCGTAGTTGTCAAGTTTGGCAAGCGAGTTGGAAACCGTAGTTATGTTTGATACAAATACTGTTGACTAACCTTATAAATGTGTATATACTCGTAGGTAAATCAATTTTGGTGAAATTTTACAAAATTTACATTTTGCATATTTTATAAAACACATCCGTTTAATTTATGAAAAATACGAATTACAAAAATTTTATAAAAATATTGTATGCAACCTTTTTTTTATATATATAAAATTCCTTATTTGTAACAAGTTTTATTTTATACAACTTAGAGTTCCAAACAAGCTGACGGCCCACCTGATGGAACACTTTCCATCAGGTGAACCGTCAGCTTGTTTAACCGTTGTCTATAGACATGAGCAGTACCATGGACATAATAGAATATACTGTTTCGCCCATGATACCCCCCATGCGTTGCCATTCCTGAGGATTTAGATGTAATTCCTCTGAACTCTGTAAATTCACGTCATACCCTCCCCTCAAACCGAAATACAGTCATGCAAACACCACTGCTTTTCAGTTGAAAAACGAATGGGACAGAGGTAACCAAGCAAACGATTTTTGTACAGTCTCCCTCTGGTACAAGCATTGAGATGTGACTCATCGGATTTCGTACGGAATAGTTAAATCTGTTATAAAATAGTATAAGTACACGTAACTGTAATATTTCTTTCTATAAATTATATTTTTTACATTGATTTTTTTTATTGTATTACAAGTGCTTAGTAAGTAACCCTGCGGAGTGAGGCCCTGGTGACCTGTAATACAGGTATTCTTATCTATCTCGGCATCAGTCTCTCACAATTATATTTATAATTTGTTTAATATAAGCATTGTATTTCACTGTAATGAATTGTGAAGAGAAATAAATCTGTTTTATTATTATTATTATTATTATTATTATTAAAGTAGAAATTTGTGACGAACTACGTGTAGAATCTTGTGTGCACGAAATGTCGATCGGCAAAATATTAGATTTTGACAATATTATATTAATAAACAAGAAAACAGAGGGATAGATGTATTTTCGCATTTGAATAACGTAATAAAGTAAATAAAATTATAATTAATTATGTTTTCATAACAACATCGAGCGGAGATTCTTCATATAGATATAGAAACAACACAGATGGTACCAATAATAGTTTATTTATAGTTCCACTCAAGTGTTATCTGTTACATCTTATATTTTTATTAAATTGTTTTCTTGTAACTAAAATTTGTTTTATTTTTCCTAACCCTACAAACGTCGTATTAATGTTTACGCAACACTAATTAGTGCAAAGCAATAGGTTCAAGGGTTAACAATGTCTCAAGTCCGTAGATAAGAATTGTTCTGATCCCAATCTTAGAATCCGGGAGCTTATCGACCTGGCGCTTGCGCATCGTTTGAACAATGTTCTAGGGTTTTTCATTTTATTTTCTGAATCGATCTTTTTAAAGACAGATCGGCCTACAAATCTTTAAAAGCAAATAGACCTCGATACTACTATTCTACTCTGTATTTATTTCTTTTTTATAGAAAATTAACTGAAGCTGTAAACGTTTTGCCAAAGCCCCTACAGTCTATCGGGTTCATTTTTGCCCGGGGATATTACCGTGAATAATAACCGTGTGACGGAATAATATTAATAATATATTAATATTGTCGTATCGTGTATTTTTTTTTTGTTTATAAATGGTCAATGTTTTAAGTTTTTTTTTTATAACACAGGGGGCAAAGGAGCATGCGGCTCAACTGATGGTAAGTGACTACAGCCGCCCATGATCTTTTGAACCTCGATTCTTTCATTAATAGATCTGAATGAAATATCCGATTGGCAATGATACAAAAATCGACATTTTTGTTCCAGTTGGAAACCCTAGAACACGTTAAAGCACGTGATGCTATACGGTACATTTACTATATTGACATTTTTTTGACACTGATATGATAAAAAATATAGATAAATATATTTTTACTTACTATACTGCGAGTGCAAAGTACTTAATTTGTACTCATTGTATATAAACATCGTATGGCTCGCGTGATTCCGTCCACGTATATTCTAGGTCTAGATATATATATTTTAATAACCAAATAAATAAATGTACACAAGTTTTTGTGAGCAAATTGATAAACAAAGATTGAATATATATACATATATATACTCTCATGTATACTATATATTTGTAATTAACAAAATATCTGAAATAAAAGTGCGTATATGTGATTTATTTTTTATATTAAATTAACAAATAAAATATATTATCACAGAGATTTTATGGCGTTCCTACAGATGGGCAAAGCACCGGGTTTAAACCCGGTGCTTTGGTAAAAACCCAATAAACACCCATAAACTCCCATAATCACCCAAAAAAATAGGTTTTTACGTATTTTTTTGAAAATATGTAAGTAATACCAATAAATTATTTTTATAAATTGTATTGATCAATTCTACAATATTAAATAAAACGTTAACTAATAATATTTCAGGAAATTTTAAAAATCTATATATAATAAAATGAAAGTAATTAATTTTCAGTGTTTTCATGTTGCAGTTGATCAACATGTTGGCCTTTTGCTTCCCGTAGATACTTTAAAATTTCTTCATAACACCTCGTTCGCACACATGGCCGTATATATTTAAATTCTTGAGCCACTAACAGTCCGAAATACTCATTTCTTTTATCCTCTTCTCCATAAATTAAGCATTTAGAACAGTTTGTTTCTTCTTTCAGTAAATTTTCTTTTACTTTATCCTCGTTTTTTTCTTTGTTGCGACGACGCTGGGTAAATCATCTGGACACTGGGTCTCACTATCGCCAAATATATTTGGAGATCGGCTTCGGCTACGGCTTGGCAGACATTTTTTTCTTTCTACAATTTTAAATTAAATTTATTAGAATAAATGCTTCGAACACACGCGATCTAAGTACCTTTTGTGTTTATTATACCTTACCTACATAGGTATAAAAAGAGTACTTACGTAGATTTTCTTTTATTAACTGTTTTATACGAAGATCTTGATCTCTCAAATTAGCATCCATTTTACTTCCAGTGATTATCAACTAAATTAATAATCCAGAAAGTATTAAATAACGTTTTTATGAAATATTTAGCACAAAAACAATACCCTTTAAATATCGATCGTCAGTAACTGTGGCTGACTTACCTATATTCTAGCAAGCAGGACTGCCAGATGTGAAGGGGAAATCCCCAATAAATTGTTGCATGTGACTGATGATGTGAGCATGTTCGTTTCATAATAAAAATGTTGCCAGGTAACCAAAAAGTCGTATGTTTTTGTGCGAATTACGATCATAATCTTTACGATCGTACATTAAAAAATAGACAAATAATAGTATGAGTACGATTTAAATCGTATATCTGTCAACCCTGCTAGCAAGACAGCGACAAAATCACGTTGCATAACAATGTAGCCCAAGCTTATATCTTATGAAATATACGGAAGAGATACGGACTTAGAAAAAACAGAAATGTTGTTCTTTGTGGAAGTCATTGATGAAATTCTATGTATTTTAGCCCGCAAACTTTCTTCAAACAAAAACAGCGCCATCTAGTATCGAGTTCTGTAATTATCTCTTTGTTTATGGATTTGAAGTAAGACCGCCACGCATGCAATACATTATGACTGGGGATTCCCCTATTCGTCGACGCTGAATATGAGGCGACGACAATCACTGTCAAACGTGTTCACTATTACTCTGACTCTGGTAACGTGACTTCCTGGTAACGTGTTAGGTAGGAAAAGCAGTAAAAAAGTGCATATTAAGGGAGCAGATTTGAAATAATATTTATACTTAACAAGAAATAATTAAAGGTAAGTGGATTTTTGAATGATACAATTATATCATGATCACTTAACAATTTTAACTTAAAATTAGATGTATTATTACAAGCTTTTATTTAGCTTGCGTTATGTAAATAAAAGTATGTAGGTATGTTCGTATGTTGATGCAATTATCCTCAATCCTCAACCGACTGGGATAAAATTTTCCATACACGTTTATTTTGGATGATAGTGCATAGTTAGCTGAGAGTCGTCATTGGATAATAATGGTGGATAGCCTAAGATGTGTACTAGATATTTATTTTTAACATAATATGCGTAAGTATAATCGAATTAAAGAAGTTGCTGAGAAAAATACAGAACAATACGATAATAAACTAGCGTCTGCGTTTAATCCTCCGAGGAGATGTAATTTTACAAAGGTTTTTTGTATTTATTTTATTATTTTTTTAATAAATTTATTGTAAATAACAAGAAATAATCATTGTAAAAAAATAGGCACTCTATTGTTGAATTTTCGTCAGACCAACTAATCATCGTTCATTTTTTTAGGTTCAATGGGGAGACCTAAAGATTTACGCATATGGGAGCACTACCGTACTTTACCAAACAAGTCTGTTTCTTGCAAGCTTTGTAATAAGGTCTACAAATTCAGTAATGCTGCCAAAATGCTTCAACATCTTATCACTTGTCCAAAATCTCCAGAAACATTAAAAGACTCTATGAAACTTATAAAAGATAGCTCGTCCAAAACCAAAATGTCTGGACTGTCAGAGATAGAGACAAATGATTCTTTTATAAGCCCCTCGTCGTCTGCTAACACTACAATAAATGCTGAGTTTCAAGACACCGATGATCATATAAAAACAGAATTAGCGAGAGCTATATTTGTAAAAGGGACGCCATTATCGATGGTGCAACATCCTTTATGGATACAATTTTTCGAAAAATTGCAACCAAAATTTAAAATACCTTCACGTAAAGCTTTAGCGACAAAATACTTAGATAAAATATATAGAGAAATGCGTTTTGAGTTAAATGAGGAACTAAATGCTTGTAGTTACTTACACCTTCAGTGCGATGGCTGGTCTAATTTAAGAAATGAAGGAATAATAAACTTTCTTATATCAAAACCTCAACCTGCATACGTTAAAAGTTTGAATACAGAAAGTAATCCTCACACTAGTGAATACCTTAGCCAAGAAGTTGAAAAAGTAATGAAAGTGTATGGAGCAAATAAGTTTCTTGTACTTATTGGCGATAACGCTAGAAATATACAAAAGGCATTCGAATTAACAAAACTCAAATATCCACATGTTGTTCCTCTCGGTTGCTGTGCACATATCCTTAACTTGTTGTGCCAAGATATTGTAAAGATACAAGAAGTAACTGTGTTTATTATGCAAGCCATAAATATAATAAAAACTGTTAAAAGGAGTCAACGATTAAGTTCCTTGTTGATAAAATCAAGGCAGGGTGAAGATTCTACACAAACACTAAAATTGCCTTGTGCTACAAGATGGGGAAGTCATGTTACTTCGTTAAAAAGTTTGAAAGCAAATAAGATAGCTTTGCAAATATTAACAGTTAGAGAAGATGTGGTAATTTCAAGAGATATTAAAGATTTAATTCTAAGTGATGATTTCTGGACGAAGACAGGGGAATGTATAAGTATTTTGGAACCAGTCACTGAAAGCATATTTTACTTAGAGAGCGACCAGAATCGTTTGCATCGCACATACATTACATTTAGAGATGTACAAGCTAAGATACGTTTTGCATTAAATGAGATTTCGACATTGAGCGAAGAAAGCAAACAGCAGATTCTAACATCAGTATCTTCAAGATGCAATATGGCAATGAGGCCAATACATTTTGCAGCATATATTCTAGACCCCAGGACTCTAGGAGTCGAACTTACTCAAGAGGAAGAACTTAAGGGTATGGAGTTTATCTACAATTTAAGCCAACACTTAAGTTTGTCAAATGTAATGGCAGATTTGGCGTGTTATAAAGCTAAAGAAAACTTTTGGGCCAGAGGATTTGTATGGATCTCATTAGATAGCATTGAGCCCCTAATATGGTGGAAAGGTATTTGTGGTTCCACTGAGTTAAGCAAAGTAGCGATTCGTATTCTATCAGCTCCCTGTACTTCGGCAGCCACTGAGCGTTCCTTTAGTATCCAAGGCTACATACATAATAACAAAAGAAATCGACTTACAACTGAAAGAACTGAAAAAATTTCATTCATTTGTTATAACTGGAATCTTAAACATAAAGCTGAATGCGAGGACATTCAGTTTAATGAAGAAAATACCTTAGAAGCTTTCATTGAGCAAGTAAATGAACATAACAGTTTAGACGAAATAGAGCCTATCGAACCTATACAATTCATCGCTTGTAATAACTCTGAATCTGACAGTGATTGACTGTAGTTTTACATTTTACTTTCATCTCTTTCTTAATAAACTCAAAATCAAATTAAAAGTTTTTTATTCTGTAGGCTGCATAATAATATTGTATATGTCCAGTATAGTGGACGTCTTGCGGCTGAGATGACGATGATGAAGTACAAAATCATAAACACCCAAAAATTTGGGTGTTTATTGGGTTTAAACCCAATAAACCCAAAACACCCGGTTTTTACCCACCAGACTTTAAACCCACCCAGGTGGATTGCCCATCTCTAGGCGTTCCTATTTGTTTGTTTGTTCACAATTTTTATATACATTCGTTACAGAATCATGGTGTTTAAATAAGTGCTGATTTCGGTTTTTACTTTCATACAAATCTTATAAACTCTTATGTTTCCAATGATATAAAGTACTTATATAGAATTATAGATTTTTCGAGTTAAAATTATATTAACTTCATTTACTATGTATATTATTATATTTTTTAACATATATTACAAAAATCCTTTAATTATCTTTAAAACTTGATAAGTATTTACTTAATTTATAATGGTAATTCTGAATTAACATTGAACCCCCTTCTCAACCCCCTAGAAACAAAATCCATAAAATTATTGTAACCAGTTAGTTACGTACGAGTTTAGTTTAAGAGATGACAGTACTGCCTTACCAGACTATAAATTACTCCTACCTAATAGTAGATTTTTGCATTTTCCCTTGTTACGCTGCATTATAATGCATAAAGACTTGCATTTTTCTTTTAAACAATAATTTGTATGCAGCTCAATATACTATTTTTATAATTCTATTGTTATCATGAGAGAAATCGATTTATAGAATTGATTTCACCATTAGAAACAAATGGATAAGGAAATATTAAAAAAAAGAGTGTCATCGATCAGTAATTTATTATTTTGACTAATTAATTAATGAATTAAATTATATTGAAATAAAAATGGACTAAAATTGTTTGAAAGTAATTATTTTTTTTTTTTTTTGTTAATAAGTGTATTGAAAAAACTATATTGAGACGTAATAACCAATAACGATCTAGTCCTCTGGGTAAGCATTCGCACCAAAGGATTATCTTTACAAATATGTTCAGGACACTGTTGCGACTTTTAAATACTTAGGATCTGAGTTAAAATTGAGCCGATTCCTCGGGGTCTCCCAAGGGATTTTTTGATGGGTGAAAATAGAATGGTAACCCTGCCTACGCTAACGAGATACGCTGACGGAGAACCAGTGAAGGGTGATCGATGATAACGAAAACAGGCCAGTTAGTCCATCATGACGAATTTATTAGGAATTACCTATGATAATTTCCAGGGGAAACCACGAGGAGATCGACCTGATTGAGTATATTGCTGGCAATTGGATTTTTAATCTCCATTACTAACAGTCCCTTTCCACCCCACTTCCAATATGTCTATCTATCTGCTTCTTTAGCCAGGATTGTTTCGATTCATAAATCTGATAGATTGAAAACTGCCTCGATATCAAATTATAATAAAAAAATCCTATATTGTTCACTGTAAATACGGGACATGTCATTTTATTGTATACCTTCTAATGATTTCATGTTTATTTTATAACATTACCAAAGATATGGAAGAGAGGCCACCTGATACAAGCATCGCTATGCTTACCAGGTGATAACAACCCTGTATTCTAATTTGGAAGTGATTTTTATTTAAATAAACTTTTTTATTCTTCATTCAGTACTAAGTAAGTAGGTAATAATAGTAAAAGAGGCAGTTCACACGAAGGTAAATGACTTGCAGATAAATATACACCACTGACCTACTGAATATAATTCGATAGTGTATCATTAATAATATGGGATACAAAAGGTATTGTTATTTTTAGAACGCATCACCTTGTTGCTATTTGCTACATGAATTTTACGTTACACTGATCTGTTTCGGTCTCTTTTAGTCTTACATATTTGGAAAGAGAAGAAAACTCTTCAGTATATTGATGGATGAAAATTATTCTGAATAATGTGACTTGCAATTTTAATTGAAAGCTTTTCCAAAATTAGTCAGACTGTAGTGTTGAAGGAAGGTGAACGTAGTTAGATTTAGAACTGTTAGAAGTTAGAAGCTGGACAGAATTTTGAAGCTGTAGTTTATTTTATGGGGCAGACAGAATATTTGGAACCTGAGAGTGTAATATAAATTGATGTAGTCGTAATGAAAATGGCCGAATTACCGAAATCTCCTTACTCTGCCCGTTCCAGGGCACCCATAAATGAAACTGGCGTAAAATGGTGGGAGCTCTATGGAGGATCCACTGTAGCTAGCACGTCAACCTCGGATCTAACTTATGAACGTGACAAAACTTTAGCTACTGCAGAAAAATCCTTCGAAGACAAATCGACATGCACCAATACGCTAAATGCACAAAGAGAGATAGTATCAAAGATATTTGAAAACCGAAGGAGCAATGATATTAAAGACCCGAAGGATAAAGTTTTAAAAAAATGGAGGGAGGAGCAAGCCAAAGCGAAATATGAACAAGCAAGAAAAGCGGTTATTAATTCACTGAAAGAAAAATTCAAAGATGCCCCCCGTTCTAATATACGACCTATAACAGGCGAATGTAAAACAGATATTCGAAAAATAGTTCCGACGATTATTATAACCGGAGACAATGCTGAAGGAACATCAAATTTGAATGGGAATCGGAATGGGAGGACTGGTGGGGATTTGGACTTAATGGATGTTAGTTGTAGAGTTGAATTTCGTGGTGGTGCCGGCGAGGGTGCCTGTCACGCGAGGAGGCTTCAGATGGGGCCAGGTAGTGAGCTGGCACAGTGGAGGCTTGCTCCTCGTGGCAGTAGGGCGGCGGGCGCGGAGGGCGGACTACGTGAGCTAGCGAGGGAAAATATGCCGGTAAGTATTCATCACGTAATTTTAGCCGACTTCAAAAAAGTTATATTATGTTCAATGTGTTAGTTATTATATACGTACATCGGCACCTCAGAGACCCAGTGTCTATAATCGAGACCGTTAACTTCTAGAGCTATTTACGTGATTTAAGTACATAAAAATTACTGAATATAAATTTATTGAAGTTGGTTTTTTGAAACATTTGAAAATATTATCTTTAAAATATGTTCTTAGGTAATTTTAGAAGAAAATCAAGAGTTTTACAAGAAGCCAACCTAAATTATTTTCGCATGTTTCATTAGATTAATTTACCATCTGCAGTCAGTCATATTATCTGAATTAAATACGTACGAGTACCTAAATGTATACTTAAGGTACTTGTAAAATACTGAAGTATTGTGTGAAAAAGCAGTTTAATTGTATTAGTCATTGAGTGTTGTAATTTATTTATGCTTTATTGTACACAAAAAAATTACAAACATATAATATATATATATATATAAAATAAAATAGACAAGTACAATATTCTCTTCCAGCAAACCCTGGATTATTGTGATTCGATTAGTTCCCGCATCAACCTAATTATTCGTAAAAATTTTTAATTATTGCTTAGATAGATATTTTAATGATGTAGGTGTTATCTTGCGGAAGATCAATGAAAAGAATCAATGCTCGAAGCCTAGTATTAACCATTCGGCGGTGATCTAATAATTTGCCTAAAGCTGTCTTGTTTAGAGGTAAAAGACGTGTGCAAAGCGTGCGTGAATAAATTGTCAGTTGGAGAATGATGGCTAATATGGAATCGTAGAACTTCTGGTAGTAATAGTGGTGGTCGATTTTCAAATGTTGGCAATCACACACGTACGTTGCACAATTAAACAAAATAATTCTAATCAAATAATTTAGATTTATTTTATTTACGTACTCAGACATGATGTTAAATTAGAGTTTGGATTATATGAAGTACTCGACTTTTATTGTTGTGATGAACGTAAAACTTGCCCACGTTATATACGTGTAGTGTAAGTTTTACGTTCACAAGTTACACAAGTTCACAAGTTAACAAGCATGTTAAAATTTAACGTTTCGCGGGGTGAAACTACTGCCAATAATTTTTTTTTTTTTTTGTTGAAAGTATTTTTCATCATTCATCAGTCAGAAATTTGTGTAAACTTTGAGAGATCCTCAAAAGATTATCTTATAAATTAGATATATCATGTATACTATATATACTACTAGGCCACGAATTTATTTAATGTATAAGTAAATAATCGGGCGCAAAGGGATTGTTATTAATGGGGTCTAATAGCCCTATTGCTAGCAATACACCCTCTCAAGTCGACCTCTACGCAGTTCCTCCTGGAAACCATCATGGCCAACTGACCTGCATTAATTTTCACCTGTCATCTTCCACTGGTGCCTCGTCGGTGATCGATAGCGCGGACGGGATTACCATTCCATTTATACCCATTAAAAAAAGTAGCTAATTATAAGCTTCATCCTCAAGATACAGGGTATAGGGTAATAGAAATACAGGGTACGTAGACATAACATTGTATTGCTCAGGAATACCAATGAGGGATACCATGGGCATCATAGTATACTCTGGGATGCCTACTCCATGTTTATAGACGACGGTTTTTTAGGGGATGAAAATGGAATAGTAACCCACCAGCATTATCGGTGTACGCTCGCAGAGCACCATCGAGGGAAGATAGATTATGATATGAACTCAGGTCAGTTGGCTCATCGTGACGATGAGCCATATTGTTACACAAAAATATACACACAAAAATACAAATCTTTCCTCTTTATAATATTAATGTAGATTGACATACAAGGGTTTTGTCTCGAGCAAATATGAACTCTGAGTTTTATACAATATAAAGCTTTTACTTAAAACCAAACAGTAAGAGCAATACCTTCCTCACACGGTAGTTGCATGTATATTCGTGCCCTATAAAGTAGGAATAACCGATAGTCATGCCATCATCGTCTAATCGGGAACAGGGATCTACCCTGTTTTTTAATTCCCTTTTTCAATAAATATCATATTTTGTATTCATAAGGCACAAAATTGATTGAAACAATATATTTAATATTTATATGTATATTTATCTACTAGCTTTTTTATGTTGTAAACATACATCCAACCCATACACACACGAAGTTCTTTGCGTCTATATTTTTTTTTATTTTATTGAAATTAACAAACAATACATTTTTTTTATACAACTTAGAATGGCTAACAAGTTGACGGCACACCTGATGGAAAGTGGTAACCGTCGCCTATAGACATGAGCAATAAAAAGACATAACAGAGTATGGTTTCGCCCATGAAAATGCCATCGTTGCCATTCCTGAGGACTGTGTTATTTCTGTAAAAGATTCACGCCATATCCCACAGAGATAACACAACTGCTTCACGGTTGAAACACGAATGGGACAGAGGTACCCAAACAATCGACTTTTGTACAAAGTCTCCCTCTGGTTAAATGTACATGTAATACAATGTATTATGATAGTAAAATTACATCTAAATATAAGTAACTGCACCACCAAAAACATTAACTATAGATTGCTAATAAAAAAAGAAAACGGCCGTGTGGTCCCGGCATAGAAAATGCCATCATTTTCCATGGATATCTGTTCTGTAAAAGATGACTAAGGGACGGCAATAGATGAGCAGCAGCGTCCCTCTTAAAACATCTCTAAAGCCTGACTGCGGTCGTTAATCCGCCTGTCAAGCATTAAACTGTGTTACAAATCACCAGGGGAAGGCATATGTTGAACAGTGTTGGCTGATATATATAAGAAAGTATATAAATATCAAATTTGTCATGAATATAATTACCTATCTATTCTTTAGACTATACATATAAATAGAGCTACGAGTCTCAAAGACGGATCAACTTTTGTCAGCTTACTGTCAAATTAGCTGACTCTTTTTTTTATTAGTATTCTATATACTTTTTTTTATACAATTTAGAATAACAAACAAGCTGGCGGCCCACCTGATGGAAAGTGGTAACCGTCGCCTATAGACATGAGCAGTACCATGAACATAACAGAGTGTACTGTTTCGCCCATGATACCCCCCATGCGTTGCCATTCCTGAGGACTCAGGTGTTATTTCTGTGTACCCTGTAAATTCACGCGATATCCCACCTTTTAAACTGAAACACAGCCATGCAAACACAACTGCTTCATGGTTGAAACACGAATGGAACAGAGGTACCCAAGCAAACGACTTTTGTACAAAGTCTCCCTCTGGTATATTAATTATGGTACTATTAATGAGTATACATGTAATTTGTGTGTACATGTAGAGGACAGTTAATTAATGTATTAACATCATTATAACCTCGTGATGCATTAATAAACAATTAAACAATTTATCATACATTAACACAACCACATTATCGGTATCAATTATACAAAACATAAAAAAAATATTTAAAATTATATAGCTATTTCATAATTTACCAATTATGTATGTGTATAATTAAATTTGGAAGGGAGAGAGATGGTTACAAATTGTTTAGCTATTTCAAATCGAATCAAATACTTTATTTGCAAAATACAATAATAATAAAAGATTCTAATGATGTAACATTTGTTTAATGTATTCACAGCTCGTTTACATATAAAATACATTTTAAGTGTACAATTTAATGCTCCTTATTAACAAAATTAAATTAAAAATACTTGATAATAACAAGTAATATTTATATAACAATTCGGCAATGATAAAAAAGAAAATCTTTTTTTATAACACTGAGTTGGCAAACGAACATGCGTGCTACCTGATGGTAAGCGGTTACCGTAGCTTATGAACGCCTTTAATATCAGGGGTGTTACATGCGCAATTCCGACCTTGAAGAAATCTCTTTTCCTTCTTTTTTGAAGAACTCCATGCTGTAGTCTCTTGAAAAAACCTCGACAGGGTGTTCATTCTATAACCTGAGCGTTCGTGGATGAAAATAACATGTCAAAATTATATAAATAAAAATAGTATAAAAGATACAATATTTAAATGCCTATATAACACGAAACATATATTTAAGCTTTTTACATTAAATTTCTAATGTTTCAATGAATGATAAATAAATGTTTGTATAATCCAACCAAAAAAAAAATCCAACTAAAGAACACGTCTCGATTACTTTTTAAATTCTATGTATTAGTTAGTAATGAGGACTAATGATCCCATTGCTAGTAAGCTCTGTTAGGTCGACCTCCACGCGGTTCCCCCTGGAAACTATTGTGACTAATACTTGTTGCATTTGTCACGATAGGCTAACAGACCTGCTTTCATGCTCATCAATCATCTCTCACTGGTGCCCCGCTAGTGTATACCGATAGCACGGGCATGGTTACCATTCCATTATCATCCATTAAAAAAAAATATCCATGTCGCATAGAAACAAAAAAGAGTGACTGTAATAAATGAAGTGTAAACACAATTGAACGGACTTTGAGCGAATACAAATTCTATCGGCTTTAAAATATTTTCAATAAAATATTGCAAAATGCTTTATATATTATTGTGATGTCGATGAGCGACCCGCCTGGACTTCGCCCGGATAGATAGGTATATTAATGCTATTATTCTAGGAATTTCTAGTTTTTTTTTTTTAATAAAATAGTAGTTGCAAAGCTTACCTTCGTCCATACGGGGTGAAGAGATTGTTAGTAATGCCTAGTATAGTATTATATTATCTGTGGTAATGCGGACTATCAGTCCCATTGCTAGAAATATACCCAGGACAACCTCCACGTGGTCCCTCCTGGAAATCTTAGATCTCAATTACAAACATTATAATGATTCTACCTTTTTCCCCCGGACTAAGGTGCCTGCCTTGCGTACCTTCTAATTTTACTGTCATATCCCACCATTCAAACCGAAACACAGTCATGCCAATCCAGCTCCTTATAGGGGGAAATTAGTAGCTTATTGCTAGCAATATACCCTCTCAAGTCCATCTCCTTGCGGTCCCCCT